ATTTAATGCAACATCAAAACAGAAAATTCCGACACACATCCAGGAGTTTGTGTTCGTTCATTCTTCCAGAAAGTCTTCAACTAGTTTGTTGAACTGCTCAGCGTACCTCAGGTGGAGGTTGTGTTTTCCCTCCGGCATTAACTGCAACCTAAGATTTGAGTGAGAAATGTTAAATTTCAGCTTTTCATCAGTGGAACAGACACTGGAGACTCACCGTGAGCCTTTAATGTGTTTGTGGAGGTACTGAGGGTGGAAGCCGGGCACCATGGGGTCCTTCTCTCCGTGGACGATCAGGGTGGGGCAGCTGATCAGCGGCAGCAGCTCCATGCAGATACTTCCTAAACAAAAACACAGTAGAGAAAAAAAAACACAAAATATCTGCAGGAACAACGATTCCTCACAGATCCTCACCTTCTGGTCTGTGAACAAACTGAGAAATGCCGTCCACCCAGTTCGCCCATAATTCAGCAAAACCTTGCTCTCCATACATCTCCTCCATTGGCCGACGCATCCTGGCGCTCCACTTGGAGACGTCCCGAACCACTGAGACACAACCACACAGCCGTTAGCTAGCTGGTAATATTAGCTTCTAGTTAATCTTCTGCTACTTTTAGGTACTACCTAGCCTTCAGCTAATTTTGGCTTCAAGCTAATCTTTTGCAACTTTAAGCTTCCACCCAGCCTTCAGCTACTATTATCTTCTAGGTAGCCTTTTGCAATATTTAGCTTCTAGTTAATCTTCTGCTACTTTTAGGTACTACCTAGCCTTCAGCTAATTTTAGCTTCTAGTTAATCTTTGCTACTTTTAGGTACTACCTAGCCTTCAGCTAATTTTGGCTTCTAGCTAGTCTTTTAGTACTTTTAGCTTTCACCTATGCTTTGTCAAATTTTAGCTTGCTAGTCTTCTGCTCCTTCGAGCTTATACAAAATCTTTGCTACTTTTAGCTTCTTATTAGCCATCTGCTGCATTTAGCTTCTTGTTAGCCATCTGCTACATTCAACTTCTCATTAGCCATCTGGTACATTTAGCTTCTTTTTAGCCGTCAGCTACATTTAGTTTCTTTTTAGCCATCTGCTACATTTAGCTTCTTTTTAGCCATCTGCTACATTTAGTTTCTTGTTAGCCATCTGCTACATTCAGCTTCTTGTCAGCCATCTGCTGCATTCAGCTTCTTGTTAGCCATCTGCTGCGTTCAACTTCTTGTTAGCAATCTGCTACATTTAACTTCTTGCTAGCCATCTGCTACATTTAGCTTCTTGTTAGCCATCTGCTACATTTAGCTTCTTGTTATCCATCTGCTACATTTAGCTTCTTGTTAGCCATCTGCTACATTCAGCTTCTTGTTGGCCATTTGCTACATTTAGCTCCTTGTTAGCTGTCTGCTACATTTAGCTTATTGTTAGCATCTGCTACATTTAGCTTCTTTTTAGCCATCTGCTATATTTAGTTTCTTGTTAGCCATCTGCTACATTCAGCTTCTTGTCAGCCATTTGCTGCATTTAGCTTCTTGTTAGCCATCTGCTACATTCAGCTTCTTGTTGGCCATTTGCTACATTTAGCTCCTTGTTAGCCGTCTGCAACATTTAGCTTATTGTTAGCCATCTGCTACATTTAGCTTCTTGTTAGCCATCTGCAACATTTAGCTTCTTGCAGCCATCTGCTACATTCGGCTTCTTGTTAGCTGTCTGCTACATTCAGCTTCTTTTAGCTGTCTGCTACATTTAGCTTCTTGCAGCCATATGCTACATTCAGCTTCCTGTTAGCCATCTGCTACATTTAGCTTCCTGTTAGCCGTCTGTTACATTTAGCTTCTTGTTAGCCATCTGCTACATTTAGCTTCCTGTTAGCCGTCTGTTACATTTAGCTTCTTGTTAGCCGTCTGCTACATTTAGCTTCTTGTTAGCCATCTGCTACATTTAGCTTCTTGTTAGCATCTGCTACATTCAGCTTTATTTTAGCCATCTGCTACTTTCAGCTTCTTGTTAGCCGTTTGCTACATTTAGCTTCTTGTTAGCCATCTGCTACATTTAGCTTTTTGTTAGCCATCTGCTACATTTAGCTTCTTGCAGCCATCTGCTACATTCAGCGTCTTGTTAGCCGTCTGCTACATTCAACTTCTCGTTAGCCATCTGATGCATTCAGCTTCTCGTTAGCCATCTGATGCATTCAGCTTATCGTTAGCCATCTGATGCATTCAGCTTATCGTTAGCCATCTGATGCATTTAGCTTCTCGTTAGG